GACAGACAGACAGACAGACAGACAGACAGACAGACAGACAGACAGACAGAGCGCTTTATATATAGTAAGGATAAGTATTAGATACTACATAATTCGCTTTGTTGTTTTATCCAACATTATTTTTGTTTGAAGGCTTTCACTTTTCTGATTCAAAATACAAAGCCAGTCGCAGAACATGAAAAAAAGGAACAGATGAAGATTACGTTCCTGCTGGAAGCGGCAGCAACCGATGAGCGGACCAATTAGTACCGTAGAGAAATGCTGTTGCATTGTTCGACATGGATTATGGGCTATGTCGTGTTGTTACGACGGAAATATGTATTACAGCAACATCGAACGCCTTCCCGAACCGGTTCCCCAACGTGTCCCACATGTTTCGCCGGCATTCATCATTTCGATGATGATAGGATCCATTTTCCCTTGCATAATACGGTTCCAAGCGGAAGAAGGAAGTGAATAGGACCGATGGCATAGAGATAGCAAAAAGTTCTTACATTTGATGGTATCAAGGTGTATTCACCACAGGCACTGATAATTTTACCTGGACAACACTGTTTTCAGATTAGATTCCGCTCAGAACTTGGCAATAAGCATGATCTCTTCCTTACTTTTCTGCCTTACTAGTTACCCTACTAGTAAAATGTTGATGCACTATCTAACAATAATCCCGTAACTCGACATGAACGTCTATATCCCAGAGAGCCCGTTTTCCCACCCCTTCCAGTTGTGTTCGTTACACCACCTAAACAAGCTTCTACAGACCGCTTATACATATACCTAGGACGAAACCGGAAAATCACAAAAAGTTGTCTGGTGTTAGCGGGAGCAAAAAAAACATTCCAAGAGTATGTACTTCGAAGTACTGGAGTATGCTATGGAAGCTGGATATTTCAATCAAAATTCCGTTCAATTCCGGCGGCATTACGCTGCTTTTTGAAGGTGCAGATCCTTCAAAAATACGAAGTATCTCGGGAAAAATACCGAATCAACAGAAGTGAATTCAGGGTGGCTTTTTGTAAAATATGCTAACAATCGATCAGAATGTCGACTTTGAGAGTTATAGATATACAGTGAAGAAGAATGGACCAGCAAGGAGACGTGAGTAGGCTGACCTATCCCTGTACAAAACGATGAAAAAACAAATATCTATAATAATAATTACGCGATCGCTTGAAAAGAGAATCAAGGGGGAGCAATCTTCCTGAAAGGGGAAGATGTCAGGGTTTTAAATCAGGAAATCTAGTATAAGCGAGGTATGTAGGGTGAGTTAGGTTGAGGGCCCTAAGCAACAACTTCGAAATTTCGCGTTCCGTTATAAAGTGTTCATTTGTTCCGAGTTGAGCGGCAGCTTGAACGGGCTATTTTTATAATAAATAACTTGCGGGAGGCAATAGTTGCTGACAGTTGCTTTCTTTGTTCACAACAACTGTCCTGGAATCTATAAAATTACCCCGAAGAAATTCAGAGATGAAGAGAACCGACAACTAGGAGACCAGTTTCAAGAAGCTCGACACGAGTTCCCAAAAACCGGAGGTACGGAGAAAGAGGAGCTGAGATACAGTACAGTCTCCTTGCTTATCCTGGTTTTCCGCTTCCACCGAATTGCTGGCATCTACCGATTTGAGGTGGCGCACTGCGACGAGTCTTATATTACCGGTTGACAAAAATTACTTTTAGAACAGAAAAAAAATTAAATTTGTAAGCACTTAATCCAAGACTCTGAGCAATACACCTGCCCAGATTGTTAATTGCAAGAACTTTGGCCAAATTCCAAGAACAGGAATAATGAGGAGACCGATTCTAGCTGAGGCTCATCTCCTGATGCACTCTCCTAGGAATATTGGAAAGGCGTGACAGGGCTCTTCCTTTCCCCATCTTACTCGGACATCGTTACAATTTCGAAAAATGCTGTTTTAATCGAGGGAAATACAACGGCCCAAACAAAGGCTGCAGTCCGCAAGTTATTTAATATAAACAGTTCACTAGAACAGTAACTAAACTCCAGTTCGAAGAAAGAAACAACTCATAAATGAAGGCAATTCCTCGAACTAAGAGATCCTTACCTTCGAGGATTCATGTTGAAATTAGAATAATCATACGTGCAAGGCCTCGTGATAAGTCCACAGTACATAATGCTCCAGTGTTCGAAGCTATCAAGACGCTCTCACTATTAGATCACCCAAGCCTTTTTTTCCTTTTCTGTGCTATTCCGTTCCTCAATACTTGAATGGAAGGACCGAACCGTCAGCGGAACACCAACGGGAGATAGGAGTGGACGGCAGCTGAACTGCATAGAGCAGGCTATGCTATGAACTTGTTGTTTCACTAGAGGAAAATCGATTTAAGCCATAGAAAAATGTTGTTAAAAAAAGTATGGATGATGTCTGAGTTCTTAAGTGCTTCGTAGGTTCACTTGTACATAGCCCAAACGGGACTACACTCATTAACCTTCAGAAAAGTAGCTCTAGATATTTTTAAAAAGTTTTTTTGCTGCTGCTTTAGCTACGCTCCAGCTCACCGTATAGGATAATCAGCTGAAGTGACTTTGTTTCATGCGCATCATACTGTAACGTTTATTTGAAAGACATCTGTGCTCTAATTAAAAGTGGTGAATTCTTGGGTGGGTGCGATTACTCGATTTCCGATTCGGCCTGAGCATCATGGTAGTTGTGCGAGGGCGAATGGTGTACGAATTGTTGATCATCCAAAACAAGCCTATAACACTGATTATCACTCCAACGAATCGAAGTAAAACCCATTCACAAAGTAATTATTTGTTCCTTCGGCTAATACCTACCTTACGCACTTGCTTATCCGATTCATACAAAAGCAGTGGCAGTTGCTCTACTACTTAATGTGCCCCATCAACAAATCGCGTTTCAATTCACCATCAAAACAATCACAAGAACAGAGTAGGCGGAAATGGAAGAGGGGCACACACCAGTATCACTCAGTATCATCACTATTTCTGCGCTGCGCCAAGTTGGCACGGTGACCAATGTTGCCCCTAACGTGAGAGCGATTGGAATCAATGCTTACCATCGTTGTATCCATCAGTGGATTGATCCGATATGTCATAAGCTCCGTTCAAGGTCGCCAGTGCGCAGTTACGTAACCACCACCCCCTAAAATGCTTCTCAGGCGAAAATATTGTAGTGACAGAATTTGGTGAGCAATCAGGATCTCGCTGATTTTCAAAAGTGAACCATCTGTAGACATGAAAGATTGTTCCACGGACCCCATTTTATGCTGCGTTATGCATTCGGGTCTTGGATCATTGATCCTGTCGACAGTCGAAAACTTTGCTCCAACAGAATAGGTCATATCATGTCTGAAAACTCATATTTTCCGTTGATATTCGTCATCAAGTATAGAGACTCAAGGAATCTTTTACAATGAACATTTTCATTACCTTGCAATTGACGCATTTCCCTGAATGTTCTTCCAGTTGATATAGAGCCTTTCGAGTGTGTAGTTGGTTTCCTCAGGTCCAACCTATAAGAAGACAAAGCGATTATCCATATTCACATATGCCCTAATTTTCCGGAATCTCACGCAAGTAGTGGAACATCAGAGTTCAAATAAGAGGGAAATTGCAAGGCATGTATCTTTTTTGAAGAAAGTGCAGCACTAGAGTTTGACCGTCAGTACCAGTTTTCGCACATTAATAAATTTTTCGTTCTTACTGACTAGCCTACAATTTTTCCAAAATCTACTTAATAAGCTGTTAGTGTTGCTTGTTATTCTTTACTTTTTTTGCACCAACGTCACTTTTGCGTGAGACTCTTCCCAACTTCCAGATACAAGCCATGAGCGCGCGCTGAGGGGATAGCAAACATTAATATTGTTCGTTCATAGAACCCAAAATTCAGCTGTCATAAGAAGGCGTTTCAAACCCGAAATTTGAAGTAGTGGTTCCACCAGTATCCATTAGGATTCTTGGCGTCCGTCGTTCTGTCGCCTCTCATTTCAACTCTCATAGTCACATTGGGGTCCTTGTAAGTGAGCTGGTGGAGAGCCTCGTTGCCCAACCAGAAAGTAGTGTTCTGGATATTTGAACGATTATATCGGAAAGCTCTGGTAAGTTTTCAGTTCACTTGGACTCACCATCCCAATCTTACCAAATCCATGTCTGTACTCCGTCCAGTTACGATCCCAGAATGATTCACTGCCGTTTACCCTTCTGCAATTTAATCGTTGATAGAGGGAGAGAACATGAAATTTAAGTGATGCTTCCTATAGGGAGTGTTCACATCAGCAAGTGACAAATAATGGCTGGTAAAGTGAGTTTGAATTCCTTATGTGCTGACGATTAACCAGAACTCAGAAAAAATTCTACACGAGTCAAAGAAGGGCGAGGTTAGCTGCGTCAGAACTAAGACCACGTACATCCAGCTAACTAGTGAGCCCCGACGTCGAAGGCCTGCACAACTTATTTTTCTGTCCTTCCTAGGATAACAGCCCTACTGTCGGCTGGAAAGCTAGGTGTTTGATATTAGAACACAAGTAGTTCCTTCTGTTGAGAATCGAGTAATTCTTACAAACCTCTGAAACACAACCCATCCGCCTCCAGCAGTATGCATGTCGCAATAGACTTTGAAAGGCTTACCGTTGACGACAATGCTGTATTCACCATCACTACAAAGTAAAACCTTTCGATTCTTAGGAACAATGAAATCCTTGATTCCGCATCTCCTATTTTTTAACTAACTCTTTGTACCCAGCCTTGTACCAGTCCTCACAGTCGCTCATCACCTTACTGGTTTCACAGACAAAGCATTTTTCTTTCCTGCAATCTGTCGTACCCCATAATCCTGAAATATTTTCCATCAATCAGTTTTTCTCTCGGACACCTTGGAAGACGTAGTTTTTCAACCTCTTAGAAAATCCAAAAAATATAGTACAAGTTCATACCTTTCTTGAACGACGAATAGATGCATTCATAGGACGAATTGGAGTGCTCTGAAGGGTTGCCCTTATAACTGAGAGAAACATGAAAAAAGGGGTTTCTTGAAGCAGTGAAAAACTCACTTCCTTCACCCTTCTTCAAATTGAATGATGAGCCATCTCTCCATGAACATTTGCCATGCCTGCATTGCCCAATCGTCCAGTATGATTTGCATTCGCCAGCATCTCCAAGCGCTTAATAATATATATTGCGCCATTTTCGTCCAAAAACGCTTAACAATATATATAGCGCCATTTTTTGATCTCCAAAGCCTCATCAACAGGTGCCTTCATGTGCTGTTTTATCTAGCCACATTACTTCTTCATTGATCTTCGCTGATGCAGCACGTATGAATGACATAGTGGGTTGAACATTCTTCTTTTCGTCGTTTCAATCCTTGGGTGACTGAGTCGATAAGAAGACGATTCTTATCCAAAAGTCGTCTGCGAACCTCGAGCCGTATATTGGTTACCCGATTTTGAATAGATACACGTGATGGGCTAGTGTAAAGGCTACAACCGTTTTAAGTGGTAATGGGATGCAGGGACATTCATCATATAAAAGAAAGGACTATCTCAGTAATCATGGACAACGACAACTTACTCTTAAAAAAAGTCGGAGAAATACGAAGTTGTCGGAACAGTGCAGGATGTAAATAACATTTTCGATAATCACTATGTTGTAATGCTTTTTTTCATTATTTCAGAAGGCTGGAGTTGTAAAAGAGGGTCTAGACGTATGTTAGCTATAGTTTATAAGTGATATGCTTATATGAAATACAAACTGAGGGTTGACTGAAAATTCAATTTCGATGAACCTGTGTACGCTTTGAGGAAGAGAGAAGAGCTCTCCTGATTCCCGTATACTGATACAAGACATCTTTACTTCACTATAGCTTCTGCCCGCACTTACCTTTAATCGCGGCGATATCTACTTCGTTGTGAATGGATGGGAGTTGACCATATCGTGACTCGCAATAAGCCTCTGATTGTTCCCAGTTCCTGGAGAAAAAGTTAAACAAGGAGAATGATTCTGATACCAGCAAGCTACCTGAGATGCTGCTAAATTTTAGTGGAAGCATTCATTGTCATCCTATGCTCCCTTGTTGAGGCATGCGCGTTGAGTATAGACCCATTTGTGGAGGGTGTTGGTTCATNCGATATGACTACAGAGCGCTGACGGCGAAGATATGTTTGAAATGCTAAACGATACCAGTGCAGAGGAGATTCCAAAGCAAATGGATCTCGTTAGGTTATGATATCCGAAAGTACACTACATGCATTCCCAGTACCTTAGCTAGGAACAATACATTCTTAGGAACTCTGAATTTCCTAAAGTAGTTCTGAGGCTGGAATATAGAGCAGTTGATTCTTCAGGCCAAGCCAACCTACTGCGCGGAAATGTCAAAGTTAATAAGTGAAGATGTGCAATAATAGTGAAGACTCGAAAAGACGATGTAACTTATATCCTGATAGTATCCATGTTACAATTTACTGAAAATTTTTGGGCACCAGAGGGCCGTGAGCATCTCATCTAAAAATCGAACAAGCTCAGATCCAACTGACCTTTTATCTGGGCCCTTGTAAACGCAGTGACCACGGCTGTTAAGGTGATTACAGGTGATGCCAGAAATGACGGCGATCATTACGTAGCCAAGAAATAGTTGCAGAAGTCGTTGCATGGTGAAGGAAATGTGGCAGGGTGATGCGATGGGATAGTGACCCATCGATTCTTAATTATGTAACAGATAAATATAGCAAAACTTCAAGTCTCTCCGTCGATGCACCTTTTGCACGGGAAAACGATCTAACCTCATGCACTTTTGGAAAGTAGCAAACAATTTAGGGTAGCTAAAATTAGGGAAAACTACACATTTGATGGTGTTCAGTTGAATGCAGGCCCTTGCATATAAGTACCCCTCTGTGTTTACTTTATTTGCAGTGACGATTACAGTGATGTTGCCGTTTGAAAAACCTTTTTCTTTGCATAAGCATAATATGTAGAACACGTATCAAGATGGGAACATGCAGTTCGACACATGTCCCTTACATGTAGTGGATTTTCATTCACCACTCAAGCTGACTGAGAGGAAACAGATAATAAAGTGAAAGAAACTCAGGAAAAGAGGTAGTCTCAATTAAAGCCATTCTCCTTCTGAAGGGGGAATGGACG